GCCTGACCCAAGCCATGTTATTTTCAATAACCTCATATGCATGTGAAAGCTGGACAGTGAATAAGGAAGACTGTAGAAGAATTGATGCTTTTGGGTTATGGTTTTGGAGGAGAATATTGAAAGTGCCACGGGCTGCCAAAGAACCAATAGATCTGTGTTGGAAGAAGTGCAACCAGAGTGCTCCTTGGAAGCCAAGATGACCAAACTTAGTCTCTCATACATTGTACATATTGTCAGTAGGGACCAGTCGCTGGAGAATGGATATCATGTTTTGTAACGTGGAGGATGAGAGAAAAAAAGGAAGACCCCCAATGAGATGGATTGGCCAAGTGGCAGCATCAATGGACTCGAGCATGGTAACAGTAGTAAGGTTGGCCTAGGATCGGATAGTGTGTAGTTCTGCTGTGCATAAGGTTACTATGAGTCGGTGCCAACTTAATGGCACCTAACAGCAAAAACAGTCAAGAAAATAAACATTCCCATACCTCAATATATTTATTGTGTGTACCCGCCACTCCTGGTGTGGCACTGTGGGCTAATCCATCAGACTGCAAAGTCGTTTGAACTGCAAAGTCTGTGGTTTAAGCTCACCAGTTGCTCCTTGGAAACCCTATGCAAGGGTCGCTATGGGTCGGAATCTACTCAATGGATTTAACAACAACAACAACCCTCCACTCCAGGAAACAGTTCTGACTTCTGTCACTATAGATTAGTTATACATGCTCTACTGCATTATGAAAATGGATTTTTTCCTGTGTGTTTGTGTGTCTTTGGTGTCTTTTGTTCTGTATAATATTTTGAGAGTATATCACTTTATTTGGTTTTTGGTACAAAAAGGGTGAATAGTATCCCATTTTATAATTATAGCAGATTTGTTTGTAAGTTAACTTACTAATTGAAATTGAGTATTAGTTGCAAATATAATTTGGTCTTACTATTTTTTTAGGCTAGTTTGACAACTTCTTGTTTTTTAATTTCTCTATTTTGTTTATATTTGATGTAATAATGATATGGTGATTTAAAATATTTTATTTTGCTGCTTGTTTTCTCCTTGTCCTATCTATTCTTTGTTCTGTTTCCTCTTACCCTGCCTTCACTTTTATTAAATATGTTTAGTATTTTATTTTACATTCTTTTCTGGATGATTAGATATATTGAACTTTTTTGTTTAGTGATTGCTCTAGTGTTTAAAATGTGCACCTTTAGGTGATCATATTGTTGTCATTAAGTGCTGTCAAGTTGCTTCTGACTCTAGCGATCCTGTACAGGGTTTCCAAGGAGCAGCTGGTGAGCTTGAACTTTCGACCTTGTGGTTCAAACTGACTTTACAATTCAGTACATTAATCCATAGCACCACACCAGGACTCCTTAATGTATCTTTAAGTAAAAGTATAATGTCTTTTATAAAATTATAATCCATAAAACTTATACAAATAAATTTTTTTTCTCCCTTTTTTCCCTTTCCCTTTCTACTATTGCTATATGTATATATACATATATATGCATATATATTGCTATAATCCATTTTGCCATTATATATGTTATAAATCTGTTATTATTTAATCATTGAATTATCATTTTAAATAATTAAAAAGAAAAATATTCTATATTTATCTGTGTTTACCATTTCCATCATTGTTCCTTTTTATATGTAGATCTATGTTTTCTTTTAGCTCAAGCAACTTCATTCAGCATATTATTTGTACGTGTCTGATAGCAACATGTTGTCTCAGATTTTGTTTACAAATATCTTTACTTCACTTTCAGTTTTGAAGATTTTTTGTGGTTTTGTTTTGTTGGGGTTTTTTTTTTTTTTTTTTTGCTTTCTTCATTTCAGTACCTTCAATGTGCTGAAATGAACTTTTGTCTTTTGTTTCTGTTAAGCAGTCAACTGTTATCCCTACTGTTTCTCTCCTTCACTCACCCTTATCTTTGTCTTTCCTCTCCTTCTTGGTACTCTAATTACACATATTTAGATAAATTTATATTGCACCACAGGTGAGCAAGATGAAAAATACCATTTGGTGCCAGAAAATCTTTAATTTGCTGATAAACCCTTTGTAAGGAGTTCTGATTTGGTGCTATAGGATCAGCACTGGATGGCAGTTCAAGCTCACTAGCTGCCCCATGGAAACGCTATACCGGGTTACTATGAGTAGGAATCGACTCGACAGCACTTTACAACAATAACAGCTCTTTGTAAAACTTGCGTGTTTCAGTTCCCTCAGTTTCGTTAGTGTCCTTAGCAATAGGACCACAAGAATAAATTGGGTGTTCTTGCATTTTCATCTAGTTCATTCTAAAGGCACAAAGTTACCTTGAATTTATATGTATATAGACACTTCCAGCTGTTCCATGGGAGAAAGGTGAGGCTTTCTGCTCCCGTAAAGATTTATAGCCTTAGAAACCCTGTACAGGGTCGCTATGAGTTGGAACCAACTCCACGGCTCTTTCATAAACAAAACGTTGTAGAGTTCTTTTGAATATACATCAAATGTGTGCAAGATGATTATTTTTGTGGAGTAATTTTTTTTTCCAGTTATTTTTTAAAAATCCAGTTTTCTAATATGTACTGACAGTATTAGTTGGAGTCCTGGTGTGACGCTGTATGGTAAGCAACAGATGACTAACTGCTATAAAGGGCTGCTGTAATTTGGAATTGACTCGATGGCCCTTAGCAACAACAACAACATCTATATTGTGTCATAAAATAGCTTTGGTCAGTTCAGACAGAATCATCTGTGTGTGTGTATGTATCTCTGTATCCATTTTCTCATGCATTTTAAGGGGAAGACCTGTTTTAAAAAAAAATTGTATATGTTTTACAAAAATATGTATCATATTCAAGTCTTTGTTGTTATTTCAGTACTATGTCTTAATGGCTTAAAAAATATGCTTGGATGACAGAGAAAATGGTTATTATTAGAAATTTTTAGTTTTTCTTTACAAATGAGCTGTATACAGTGAAGTATTAATCTAAAGTTAGAAACATTTTTGCTTTATAATTTTATTGTGGTTAAGAAGAACAGCTTCAGTTTATATTAATTTTAGGCTTTTTAAATACCTTTAAAGACATTTTCCTACACTTATTTTTATACTACATAGTATATAGAAATATAAATGATTTCCAAACCTAAGCAGAAATACAACTATTTTTAATGTTGACATTTTCACTATTGATGCAAATATCTTACTTTTCTCGTAGATTTTCTGTTGGGAAAAATAAACAATTACTAAGTAGTAATCAAAGTGATGACATTATAATGTGTTTTAGAATACATTCTTTCTTAACCAATTAAATATTGAATTTTATTTATTATAGGTAAAGAATAAATTGACTCTCAAAATCCTGAGCATAAGATATGTTTTTAATCAATGAGCTGACATGTTAAGTCTGGCATTTCTGAAATTGAGAAAGATAGCAAGTGAAGGCTATTTAAATTGCTATATAATTGAATGTTTTGACTTCATCTTCAACATTCATCTTTTTTCTTGATACAGATATCCTTTTTTATGTCTTCTTAAATTGCTGTTGCAGTATTTGTATTACTGCACAGTACAAGTCAGTTGACTTTGTGCTTTTGAAATGAGAGGTTATTGTTGTTAAGTGCCATCAAGTCATTTCTGACTCAGCTACCCTGTGTAGAGTTTCCAAGGAGCAACTGGTAGGTTTGAACTGCCAGCCTTGCGGTTAGCAATCTAGAGCTTATTCTACAATGTGACACCAGGACTACAAATTAGTGGTACTGTGTATGTAAATCCAAATATCATAATCTCTTTTGTTTTTTAAAAAATGATGGTGAAATTAAGATGAAGTATCAATAACTCTGTTTAAACACAAATCATTAGCTATTAGAATTATCAGGGAGCAAATTGAAAACTCTTGCATGATTTTCACGTGTGTTAAGTAAATGATCACATACCATATAGTCTCATGTTTTGATAATCTGATGATTCTAAAGATACCATGGAAATGCTTTTCATGTATATTTTTTTAGTCTTGGAAAAAAAATAGTGGGGTGATTATCATAGTTGCCCGTAAGATGTCCATATATCCTAAACCTTGGAATCTATGACTATGTTACCTTACATGGCAAAAAGGAATTAAGGTCCTGGATTTGGTTTTTAATCAGCTCATCTGGTGGTGAGTAGTGGGAGGGGTTATTTTGGATTATTCAGGTGGATTGAGTCGAATCATGTATTCTTAAAGGTGAAAGAACAGGGAAAAGAAGATCAGAGAAATTTGATAAGAAAATGACTCTATTTGCCATTGGCGATTTTGAGGATAAAGAAAAGGGACCATAAACCAAAGACTTATGGTTTCTGGAATCTGGAAATGGCAAGGAAACAGTCACCATCTTCAGAAAGGCATATAGTCTAGTTTGAACCTTTGATCTTGCCTAAATAGATTCATGTCTCACTTCTTGCATACATAAATATAACATAATAGTGTGTATTGCTTTAAGTGGAGTCTTGTTATGGTCCGTTAGTATAAGCACTTGCTAAACACAAGTTCAGCAGTTCAAACCCACAAGCTGCTCCTTAGAAACCCCAATGCAGGGTTGCTATATATCGCCGGAACTCACTCAGTGGCACTTAACAATAACAACAATTAATACTCTCTTGGAGCCCTGGTATGGCACTGTAGGATAAACGCTGGAGTGCTAGCCACTACTTGGCAGTTAAAGCCCACCAGTTGCTCCTGGGAAACCCTATACAGGGTCACTAGGAGTCAGAACTGATTCAGTGGCACTTAACAACAACAAAGGTCAGAATTTTTCTTTCTGAGTCTCAAATTTTTTACAGAAAAATAACAGGAGAAATAGAAATTACTTTTAGGTTAATTGAATTTTTTAAGTTTGAATGTTAACTTTTTAACTTTTGATAATATATATATATATAAAAATTTTTTTTTTTGACAATAACTGCATTTTTATTAAATTCAAATTTATTTCCCTGTTTGTTGATTGGTGGTAGTTCCACACCATTTTAAATACTGTTATGGATGTCTGAATCTAGTTCTGTTGATTGCTTTGCCCCTGGGTAGTGTGGTGTTTTTCCTGCTTTTTCATGTGCCCTATACATTTTGTGGTTGAAAGTCTCTTGTCTGAGATGATAGAAACTATGGTAAATAGTTTTTATGCCTAGAAAATGAGAACACCTGTCTTTCAGATTTTTAGCGTGGGCATCTGATTTTTCTAGTTTTATTTGTTGAGAGCACTGTCCTAGTTCCATAGAAATAGAATTAATACATATCATATGGGCATGTGTGAGACTATTTTGGAACTCTCTGTTCTGATCTCTTAGTCTCTGTGACTTCTACAATATATAGACTTGATTTTAGCATGGGGATTTGATTCCTAGTTGGTAGAGCACAGTCAATAGAAACAGTAGAAATGGCCTCACAAGTGAGGCATACAACCAAACTTGGGGCAAGAGATATTGAGATGTTTGAGACAAAGATGACACAAATCAAAGAGCGTCCCAGACAAATACCAGTTTTACTTACTCTTTATTGCAGAAGACAGTCATAAGCAGGGAAAAGTTCAGTACCTTCATGTTGATCTCCCCGCAGCCAGATGAATGACAGAGACAGATCGTGGCCTGCATGCCCTAGTTTGTACCTGGAGAAAAGACAAACAAGGATGCCCTAACCACAAATCTCATAGGTCCTTTCACAGAGAGGGGACCCCAGGCTTTGAGCAGTTTTAAGCATGCTATGAGTAGAGCTTATTTTTTCTTGGCTAGACCCTGAGACATCTGGCCAGGCACAGTTGCAACCCACATCCTAGTTTAGATTTTGCTGTTTAATGCTAATATAATTGTTTGTTTTTTAAGTTTTTATTGAAAATTATGCGGTAGTTTACATGGGAGAGCATTAGCTTTACATTCATCCTATTGTATTTCATTTCATTGCAGTGATTACAATCCCCTCCATGCATCATCAAACAAAAACAGGGTACACCCCGTAAGCCTACTCCCAAGCTGCCAGCACACAGCCCCTCTCCCTCTCTGTGTCCAGAATTCCCAGCCGCTCCATCTCTCCATATCATCATCTCTGCCTCCATCTCTGGTGTCTCTGGTTCTGTGGGTAGGATCTCGCACGCTGCTCCTCTCTCTTGATGGTCCCAGGGCCCTCCGCTCCTGGACTGCAAAGTCAACCACTCTCCTCCTTTTGTTAACAAAACATCTACCTTTACATTTTCAACTCACACAGTCAGTTCTGATAGCAGTTATTCACTATTGTACCATAAGAGTCTTATCCACACCTCCTTTCATCAGCCCCATCCAGGCAGATTGGAAACCACTCAGTGGAGATTCTACCTTCCCCCACACCCTCTGGAACTAGGCTCCCTCTTGAAAGCTTGTAAGCCAGTCACTTCTTGCCTTTGTAGCACCCCCCTCCCCACCTCCCCTTTTTGGATAGCCAGTGTCTAAGTTGCCCATCCCAGTCAACCTTCTGTACTGAGGGGGTGGGAATGATCCTCGCTGTTAAGATTTGTTCCCTCTTTTGAGCTACTACTACATCCATAAGTATAGGTCAAGTTCATCAATTTATAGCAGATTACTCTTTTTTTTTTTTTTCCCCCCTCTTTGTTCTAGTTGAGTTACAGGAATAATCAAGTAAGATAGATACAGCAATGGAAACAATTCAGAACCTACAGATACCTATAGTCATCTCTGTTTCTGTCTTCTTTCTCTTTGTCTTTTGTTTTAAATGGTCTTTTCTACTAGGTGTACTAGCCGTGTCTTGGTACCCACCTGATTCAAATGATGAGAATGGAGAACCCACTGATGACTTGGTACCGACTATTTTGGATAAAGCTCATAAATATAATCTGAAGGTATTTTATTTTTATTTTCAAGCTATATATAAGCATTCTTTTGGCCAAGAAAATTGTACTTTAAATTTTTGGAGTTGTCATTATAATTAAAAGTTTGATGTGATAATAATGACCTGACTATAAAAATAATGACTTGGGATTTTCTTAATGATGCTATCTTTATTTCATAAAGTTATTGTTGTTGTTGCTAAGTGCCATTGAGTTGGTTCTGATACATAGCAACTCTATAGGGTTTTAATAGAAGTGGCTGGTGAGCTTGAACTGCTGACCTTGAGGTTCAAACTGACTTTGCAGTACAGCACATTAACCTACAGTCCCTCCATGCAATACTAATAGGTATTAATTTTTGTCTATTAGTTATAAGTACTTTGGTTACAAGTTATGTTATATTTTGCTATAAGTAATTTGGTGAAAGCTTTGGAAATCCAGTATTAACCTACAGCATCAGACTAGGACTCCATCTTTATTTCACAAAGAAAGTTTATGTAATGCATTGTGACCCGCAAACTTCGTCTGAGTTACTCTTCTTGCCATGTTTTATGTAAATCTATTTATTGTTTGGAGTCCTAGTGTGATGCTGTACGATAAGCACTAGACTGCCAGGTCAGTGGTTCAAATCCACCAACTGCTCCTTGCAAACCCTATATAGTGTTGCTATGAGTCGAAACTGAGTAGATGGCACTAACAATAACTATACTTATTATTTCAGTTAAAGAAAAAAAAAGGATTGAAATATTTTTGAAGATAATTTCTTAAAGATTTTTATGCTAAATGACTTATAGATCTAAGATCTACTAAAAACATCAAAAAACAAGTGTTCACCATAAACTTTAAGAATAATTAAGTAGAATATGGAATCAGTAGCCTGCATAATTTAGTCATAAATTTACCTCCTTTTGTAAGAAAAACAAATGGTAAGATTTTATATATATATATATATATATATATATATATATATATATATATATATATGTGTGTTGTTGTTGTTGTTATGTGCCGTGGAGTCGGTTTCGACTCATAGCGACCCTGTACAGGGTTTCCGAGGCTGTAAATTTTTACGGGAGCAGAAAGCCTCATCTTTCTCCTGCGGAACAGCTGGTAGTTTCAAACTGCTGACCTGAAGGTTCGCAGCCCGATTCGTAACCACTATGCTACCAGAGCTATATATATATATATAAAGAGAGAGAGAGAGAGAGACAGGAAATATACATAAAGAAAAATGATAATAGAAATAGACAGAAACTCTACAAATAGGTATAGAAGGGAGTTTAAGATTTGTATTAACATATTCAAGCATATAAAAAATGGGCAGCTTTATGGGAAAATGCATGAAAAACGTGTACTTTTTAATATAAGAAATGGTTAATGAATCTGAATTGATTAGGGAAAAAAATTAAAAGTTAATACTTACACATTCTCAAAGTACCAGATTTTACCTGTCAGTTTTCTTCAAACTTCCATGACCAGTTGATTCTTATAATATTGTTAAATAGTGTAAAGTTAGTTTGTTATGTATTGCTACATGACAGATTAGCCCCAAATTTAGTGAGTTAAGGCAGCAAACATTTCTTATTTCACACAATTTCTAAGGGTTAGGAGTTGGCGTGGCTAGCTGGGTCTAGTTCAAAGTCTCTCATTGCTCTATAGTCATGTGAAGGCTAGAAGACATCTTTCCAGTCTCCTTCCTCGTAGCCATCTCTAAAGGGAAGCCTGACCTCTCTAGATAAGGCATTTGTTTTGCCTGAATGAATGAATGAATAGAAGCTCCAGCCAGTTTGTTTGTATATATGTGTGTGTGTGTGTTTACCTAATCTGGTGTAGCAGTGTAGGATAAGCACTGGACTGCTACTGCAAAGTCAGTGGTTCAAACTCAACCACCTGCTTCTTGGAAACTGTATGATTCAGAACCTACTCAATAAGCATTTAATAATACCAACAACAATCTTTAAATTGATATTTAAAGATTATTTAAAGATATTTAAATATTACACTTCTACCAGTTCTGTTAAGGAGCTCTGGTAGTGTAGTGGTTATGAATTGGGCTGCTAACCTCAGGGTCAGCAGTACGAAACTACCAGCTGTTCCACAGGAGAAATAAGAGACTTTCTGCTCCCGTAAAGATTTACAGACTTGGCAACCCTGCTCAGGGTTGCTATGAGTTGGAACCAACTCCACGGTACATAACAACAACAGCCAGTTCTGTTACTATATTTACTAATAAACCAACCATATTACAGTAAAGGAAGGAACTATCAAGGATATGAATGCCAAGAGGGTAGGTATCATCGGGGTCATTTTAGAAACTTGTTAACCACAGAAAGCATTCTAACTTATTCTATAATAATAGCACAATCCTGATTCTGAAACTAAGCAAGAAAGAATAGCACAATAAAGATATCACTAATGAAAACACGCAGAATTCCTAAAGAAAATTCAGAGAAGAGCGTTTATTAGCCGGGCTCTATTCCAAGCGTATGAAATCTGAATCCGTATTGCCTGGATTCAAATTATGGCATAATTACTTAATATTTACATAAGTAGTCTTGCAGCTCAGTTTCTTTAAAATGAAAAGAGTAACAAAACCTGCCTCACAGGACGTTTAAACAGTCAATGAAATTTTATTTACTTTGCATTTATACATTATAAAACATGATTACTTATTAGATGATGAAAATTTGAGGAAATTAAAATTTAACAAATTGGTACTAATAAAACCCTTAATGATGAAAGGACAAGACTTAACCTTCAGAACTTAAACGTATGTTTTAGGAACCTACATCAAATATCCTACTTTACAAAGAAACTGCATTATCAGGCCTATGAAATTAAGATCAAAACAAGAATGCTGTTAGTCTCAGTATTATTTAGTACTATTACAGAGATTCTGAGCAAAGCAGTTTGACTGGAAAACGAAAAGTAAAAACTTCTAAATAGAATTAGGGTTGTTTGTAAATGTTAATTATATAGGACACCTATAAAAGGAGCTCTGGTAGCGTAGGGGTTACGAATCGGGCTGCAAACCGCAAGTTCAGCAGTTCGAAACTACCAGCTGCTCCGCGGGAGAAGGATGAGGCGTTCTGCTCCCATAAAGATTAACAGCCTCGGAAACCCTGTGCAGGGTCGCTATGAGTCGGAACCGACTCCATGGCATACAACAACAACAATAAAATTGATATTAAACTACTAGAAAAAGTGAGTTTAATAAGGTTGCTAGAACAAACATACAACAATTCTCTATAAAATTTAAAATTCTTATATTTCAGCTGGAAAAAATACTTAGAAAAAAACTAGAAAAAATGGTACAATGAAAGTAACATAGCAATAGACACATGAATAAATCTATGCCAAACCAAACAAAGCCCATTGCCAGTGAGTCTATTCTGACTTAGAGCGACCCTATGGGATGGAGTAGAACTGTTCCTTGGGGTTTCCAAGACTAAATATCTATGGGAGCAGACAGTCTCATCTTATTGTAGCAGGTTGGTAGGTTTGAACTGTGGACGTTTCAACTAGCAACCCAGCGCTTAACTTGCAACACCACCAGGGCTCTGCTAAGGTAGCAAAGACCTTTGCAAATGGAGAAATATGAATTTGATGGCAAAATTCAATATTATGAAAATGGCCATTCTCAAGCATGTTTTTATTTTTTTTAATATAACTTGTAAATTCAGTGTTACTCCAGTTGAAAATCCCACTGAGAAATGTTAATATAGAATTAAAATTAAATTAAATTCTAGGATTAAACTTGAATTTTGAATTAAATTTAAAACTAATCCAAGTTTTAAAATATATATCTAGCTTGTTTTTATATGCTTATTAAGAAAAAACTTCTCTTCCTAGATACCAGAATGCACTATAAAATAGCAGTAAGAATGCATTGTTAGCACTAATATAGAGAGTAACATCAGTGAAATATGATATAAAGTCCAGAAATAAGGCACTGTATATGGGAATCTAGTATATAAATCAAGAATCATCTAAAATCGGGCATTAAAAAATGTTAATCTATGGTCTTTTCTTCATAAGGCTGGATTCATTTTTGAAAAAAGTATCCCCTCTGCTGTTCCGTATCCTGGAGCAATCCTGTTTTCCTCTTATTCTCAGATTGCTTGTTTTTCTTTGAATTTATTCTTGTTTTCCAAGGCAATATGTTTGTAAATCTTAATGAAAATATGAATTACAGTGTCTTTTAACAAGAGGACCATTTACCCTGAATTCTCATATTGCTACCACTGTTTTAAAAATCATTTTGACTTTTATTAGCTCTGCAGCATCTTGGTGTTTTATGTATTCTCATGGATAACAGTCTGGCTTGTCCATTATTGGTAATTGAAGTCTTTAAGAAATAATGTGTGTCACTATTTAAATATTTCCATTCTAAATAAAAATATGAAAATTAGTTTTGTTTTTATTTTCTTTTACAACTTAAGGATCCAGCTGCTACAGGAGAATAGAAATGGAACTTATGGACAGAGTGAATCACTAAATAGACAAGCATATTTTTTCTTGTTCATTAAGTATCTTCTCTTTCTGCTGTAGCTCTGTAGCTGTTAAGACAGCATCTCTTAAACTTGCTTACAGGCAAAAGCTGGCTTCTGCTTTGTCCCCTAATCAGATCCAATGAGCACCCATTGGATTTGAAATTTACAAATAAGGCTGGCTGGTAGGTTCTGGCACCAGGTCTGAGACTAGATAACGAATGTAATTCATCTTCCATAAAACAAGTCCAGTCCCTGCTATAATTCTGAGAGGTAGGAGAGAAGAGGCCTTCACATATCAAGAAAACTGACTGTTTTAGTACTTTTAGGAGGTTTTTAAAGGTAAAATGAGAATGTTCCGAAATGTGAGCCTAGGTTGGTTGTTTTCTTTGTGTAAAGCTCTGTAGAAGGAGAGCACAGAATGAGCAACAGTAGTTGTGTGGCAAATATCTCAAGCACTAATTGTCTGGAGAAGTCCTGCTGTAGCACCATAGGATAAGCCATCAACTTCAAGGTCAATTT